ATTACTGGTGGAACACTTTACTTGCGACTTTCGAATACCTTTCTCAGCTATGTATTAAATCCTGTGCTTAAGACAATACCTTTCAGTCTTATTATATTGAAGTACCCGGCCATGTGGTGCTACACTCTAGCGTATTCAGTTGCGTGAGTCTACATAGTCAGTTGGTATACTGCAAAAAACTCCGGTACCATATCTGTATTTCATGACGACGTGGTCTATTAAAAATTAGGAGGGTGGCTGCATACGCTTGTTTAAAAAAAATTGTGACCCCCCCCCCCCCCCCGCCTCCTTCTTTTCTACTGCGCTAGTAAGCACCAAGTGTGATCACTGTTGTTCATTTGGAACAAAGGATAAAGTAAAGATCGGTGATCCACCGTACTCGCAAAGCTTTTTTTGTTCCAATGTCGTTTGCTAATCATGACATACATTCACAGAAAACTTCCACAAAAAAAAGGGCGAAAATGGAGTAACGGGCTCCGTTTCTCTTTAGGCGCAGTGATTTTCTCCCTTTCGGGTGACTTACCCGTCGCGCCTTCTCGCAGCAAGGACCAAAGGAGCAACGTTTCTCCTTCAGTGTCAAGTTTCTCCTTAACCACGGGTGTCTTGCACGCGCGCATGTGCACGCCGAGCCTAGCCGGCCGCGGCCAGTCACGTGCGATTACTTATACCTACTATTGATGCAAGCAGTGCATAAGTGTCGTTTATACTTTTGTTCTATTGCTGTAGAGTAAAAGGCTTCTTTTTCTATCGCCAGGCACCCGCACGACGTTCCCCGCACTTCCGTGGGTGTCTCGTGTTGTTTCATACTACCAATTTGTGATGAATACAAGGAACTCTGCTTTCCTATAAGTCGCTTTATCGATTGCCTTAGACTGTACACAAATAATGGATTTTTTTTTTGGTGTCGACATACTTGGTAAACATACGCGTTTTTAGTTTAACAAGGCACCAATAGCACTCATCAATTCAACTAGGTGCACAAAAGACATCACAGTTAATTTTTCAACATTCTAGGAAACGTGATACCACTGCATAGTCCATGCGTAAGAGTACGATCATATGCAATCGCTGGAGTTATACGTGCCGCTACCATCATATGATTATCAGGCACGTCGTGGTTGGGGTCTGCGGATGAATTTCGTCCCCATGAAGTTTTCTGCCGTAAATCCAAACATAAGCACATGGGTATTTGCGAAACATGAAACAACTAAACGAAGTCGACGCGACGAAGGAGACAAAGTCTGGCTAAAGATCAAGGGGCTTTTAGTCTGACCTGCATGCTGCACCCTCTCCGAGTAACAAGTGGAAGAAAAAAAAAAAAACGTTAACTCTGAAATGGCAAGCGCGCGCCAAGCGTTTGCCTTCTCGGAGGCTTCAAGAAAAAAAAAATCTGTGACAGTAATCGAGAGATGGCGCAGCCTTCGTAAAGCCGTCGGCATTCTATGCGTGGCTTGGGGTCATCGTTTTCGCGGAAATCTGATAAGCTTTAGTAATTATTCCGTTCATCATTGTGGAACCGTTGATAAACTTCCGATTGTCTAAGAAACATATACAATATATTTTTGTGTACCTATGTTGTGGTTCGGCCACGAAACGTTAAAAAAGTTGACGAATGCTTACTTGTAACTTGTGCCACTATGATCAGTCCAAATTCCTTGCTATATAAGCTTGTGCGTTTTCGCACTTGGGTGTGAGCAAACACGTGCAAGTGTGTGCCGCTGTGGCGAATTCTGGATTGTACCTTTGTTCATTTAGTTCACTCTATATTACGTACGTGTACTATGTGTCCTTAAGTAAGTTTATTTACAGAAAGGCAGAGAGGTCGGCCTGAGCGATAGCTATGTGTCCTTAGGTGCATGTGTAGCTGTATGCATTGCATCAGCATATATTAGGCGTCCAGTGTCAGTGAGTAATAAATGAATAAACTGACTCGCCTGCTGTCCGCTAGGGCGCCTGCGGGTGTGTCATCATGCATCGCCGCAGGTAACTTTTATTTCAGCATTGTTCAGTCTCTCCAGATGGCGCCAGCTACTGCCTACTTCACTGCTGTGACGCTCTCCCACCCCAGCTACTTATATAATGTCGAACATCTATCTACCTATCTATCGAAACTGCACTGCTGAGCACGACCACCTCTATAAACTCACGACATGCTCATGTCACCACTCCTCATGTCGCCAGGTTTGCGTTTGCTTGTTTAATTTTGTTTATTTCTTTTAGTTCTAAAAAAATGTCGCAGCACGCCATGGCGCCACAACTAACCTTCATTGCTGCAGCCGCCAAAGCGCTTTCCTGCGTGGTGCGTGCGTGCGTTGACTCGTTTTTGTGCCATTTAAAAATTAGCGTTCATCAGGATATTTGTTCAGGAGTCGGGAGCGTTAGGGTACGACAGGTACAGCACTATTCACATAATGGTGTACTGCTGTGTTCCATTCTGCAAGTCGAGCGGCCGGCGGTCGACTGGGATATCATTTGACGAATTTGCCATCACTTAGATTCGACAGCGTCAATGCTAAAAGCTCGTAAAATAGAACAGGGACAGCTAAAAGAAATTTAGCCAGTTATAACACATGGTTTAGACTGATACTCGCGTTTCCATAGAAAACATTATTCCCTCTACAGAAATGGAGCGCGACAATGTAGGGAAGCCCGCGTAAGCCCGTATTTTCAATCTGTGTTTTCCGAATCATTTCAAGGTAAAATGCCATGTACGACAACACAGCAATTCGAATCGATGGATGACATTATTTTTCGGCTAGAGGTGTGTGCACTCTTTTCGAACGACTTCAACCTAACTCGGCTCCAGGACCGGATGCCATTTCTTATCATGTATTGAATATGTGTGCAGGTGCTCTAGCACCAGTTTTAGCTGTCTTATTTTCAAAATCACTTAATGGTCACAAACTGCCGTCTGAATGGGCTCTAGCAAATGTGCCGATACCAAAGTCTGGAAACAAAAATACTGTTGCCAACGGCCAGTTGTTGTGACCAGCGTATGATGTAGAACTCTTGAACACATTTATATAGTGGTATTATAAAGCACCTGGAATGAAATAATTTTTATGTACATTTCAGCATGGTTTTAGGTCTGGTCTGTCATGTGCTGCACAACTGTGCGCATTTCTTCATGATGTTTTAAGTTCACATTATAAGGGTTCTCAAGTCGATTCCATATTTTCAGACTTTCAGAAAGTGTTTAACACCGTTCCAGATGCTATTTTATTACATATACCATCTTTTTAAGGTCTGCCTGCATCTGCTCGTGGCTGGTTGAGAGATTATATAACTTCTAGCAAGCAGTCCATCCCAGTTAATGGTTCGTTTTCTTCATATGTCAGCGTAACTTTCGGGGTGCCACAGGGTTCGTAATTGGGTCCATTACCCTTTTTGGTCTATAATAATGAATTGTCAGAGACGCTAACATCAAACGTGAGGCTGTACGCGGATGATTGTGTTATTTTTAGACCAATATACAGTATGCACGATATTCGTGCTTTACAACATAATCTTGACACTGTGGTGAGGTGGCATGAGAAATGGAGGATGTGTTTGAATGTAAAAAAAAAATGTTACTTCCTTAGTTTCACCAGAAAACGCAAACCTTTTCACTCGTCCTACAGCTTGTCAGGAGCACAACTTGACCGTGTTGAACATTTTAAATACCTTGGTGTATACTTGTCTGCCAATCTATCTTGAAATAAGCATATAGATTACGTAACTGGCAAGCCCAACGGTGTGTTAAACTTTATGAAACGCAATTTCATGTCTGCCCCAAAAAGTCTGAAAGAGGCTTCGTATGTTACAAATGTCTGACCTATCCTTGAATGTGTCTGTACAGTGTGGGATCCTCATGGTCAAACTCTAATCTATAAACTTGAACGCATGCAAGACCACACGGTACGCTTTGTCAGTATTATTACAATTTTAACTCCAGTGTTACATGCATTAAGAATAACTTACGAAGGAAGCCACTTGAGCAGCGCAGGAAACTCTTGCGGTTAAAGTTTTTCCATTCTATATTCTATGATGAAATCCGCATTAAGAAGAGTTTATACGTGATCAGCCCACACTACGTGTCACATAGAAATGATCACTCAAAAAAAAAAAAAAATCCTTGAGGTCAGCTGTCGTACTGGTGCCTTTGCAAATTCTTTTTTGCCTTTTACCACCCGCGAATGGAATAATTTCGATGCGTGTGTTGTTGATCTTCCATCTGATGGTTTTTGTTCGTCACTACAAGATGTGTGCTGTTTGTGAATTCGCAGGAACTGCTGCGCAAATGTATGCCATTTCCGACGGCGCAAACGTGCGCTTTGTTCGACTAAATAAATAAATAAATAAATAAATAAATAAATAAATAAATAAATAAATAAATAAATAAATGGACTGAAAGAATTAGAGCCGTTGCCTTCTACTGAAGTTCCAGCCGTTGCAAATCATTCGGTTTCAGTGCCAAGCTGAAGGAGGCAAAAATATCTTGATTTAACGCCCAGCTTGCCATGGAACAATATCGTACGCCGGAACGCAGGCACTCGCTCAGCCAAATGCGTGTGACGTCACGGCTCACGAGTGCACCCGTGTAGTCCGACTCACAGGTGGCTCGTGTTCTTATAATAACAATAAATTCTAAATTGAGTGATTGACCAAATCCTCCAAAATTTCAGCAGATTATTTGTGAATTCGAGAGGATTAAGCCGCATAACACGCATTATAATCGAAAATTGGGTGTCCTGGCCTCTTTAAAATGGTGCTAAAATGCCTACGCACAAATGGTGAAATACTTTCTGATCAATGACAGGGACGACCATTTACGTAATCATCTCTTTCTGGCACATAATTAAAAAAAGTTAATAATTCCGCAACTTGCAAACGGTCGTTGTAAACATAACGCTTCTGCGTAGATAATTTTCATCGCTTTCGAGCAGTATATCAAAGCTACGCGCTTCAGCGTGTGTGGAGAGATTAAATTCCGAAAAAAAAAAAAAGGAGAGCTGGCTTACCTTGATACAAAAAATGAGTGATACAGGAAACGTGGCGATGATGATGAGTATCGAGATTGTTGTGAGTATGTAGGCACAGATGTCCAGCCCTTCAGACACGGTGGCTGCAAGAGATACGAAATACACACCGTTAGGATATATGATCACTTCTCGTGTTTCAAAAAAGTGAATTACTGCCTATATTATATTGGATACGGTGTCTCATTGATTTGAATTCAACATACGCTCGGGCAGCCTCAACAAGGAGCTTGGCATCAGTTGCTATATGTCATAGGTACACTAACCAAAGGTCCAGTACATTTGGGAAAGAGTAAGTTTAGATTTTATAAGAGATAAACTGAAGGGGACAATGAAACACGTGCATTGGACTATCAGGCAAATACGGTATTGTGTAGAAGCAAGATTTTGAGGCAAATAATATTGGCCTCCAAAACATCGCGTCGTTTTCTTTTTCGTAAAAGATTTCCACGGAATGTAACTCATCTACAAGATTTCGGCTTCTCGCACGTGGTTTTCGCTATAGTGTTGATATGATACGCAATAAGTGAGGTTCTACCATATTTACCGGTTCTGCTTTCTTGACGTATGTTTTTTTTTTCGTAATCACGGACGATACACTGGGCGATAAAACGTTAAAACTGATTCCACTAGCGAAAAGAGCAGAAGAGAATTGAAGTACCCTTTTATTATTCACGAACGTGTGCAACAACAACAACAACAAAAAAAAAAAGGCCAGCACAACAAACACAAATTGGTAATCAAGGCAGTGAATGCAATCGCAAAATAATTATTGTGCTCTATTGAAGCACACAAATGCTGAAAACATCTTTAAATATAAAAAAGTGGTTTCCCTGCCTTAATTTTTTTCTGGCAGTGGTTCTAACAAACGTAAAACTTGCGAGGAATCCGCAGCGCATTCACAGCATAAGCTGGAGAAGCACCTTCTCAGAGTCATTTGTAAACTTTCTTAGGGCACAATGCAAGTACAGTTCCGCGAAGTTCTCCTCCACGTCATAATTTATCATGCTTTTTTGAAGCAGCGAACTACCTACTACACGTGTGTAGGAAAACATGTGCGCTTGGTAGCTCCACACTCTTAACGGCAGCATGTATTAGCACGACTAATGAAAGAAAAATGACGCAAACGAAGAGATAGATGGGGCGCTGATAAATGCCGCATACGGAACACCCACTCGCCCGAACAGCAGCCCCTCTGCACACTTTGTTGGCGATGGGTGCAATGATGGTGATGATGATCTCGATGACGACGATGATGATGACGACGAGGACGACTTATGGCTGATCCCTAGCTATAAACTATTATCCGCAAGACATCTTGGGCTGTTAAGGTTATGTCTTTTTCTTCTTGTATATCACTAAGAGAACCATTAAGGCCATCAAACATCGTATGCATCAACCCAAGCGTATCCGTACCCCGTTATAGCATTTCTTTAGTTGTTAAAAAGCGAAGCACGAAAGGTAACGGCCAAATATGGCAGCGCTCGGACCCCTCCATAAAAATTAATTGGACGCTTCAAACCACCCACTCGTTACGCGATCGCCATGGCGTAGAATCGCACCAGGTGCGACTGCACGCTTCTTCCGTGCAATACCTTGCCTATCTGTTAACGAGACATTTCTACGGGGTCGTTTCTCGAAGATGTTTCAAGCACTGGCGTGCTGGCTCTGCCAGTCACGAACAACGCATGGGTCATATTTAGGCTCAAGCCCTGCTTCGTTATTTTTTTTTACTCTGTTTTTTTCAACAATATGCTCACCTAGCGGGGACAGGCGCAGGCGGACAACATCGTCACCAAATCGGCTGCTGTGAGCTCATAAGAGATTACGCCGTGAAAGAAAACGTTTAAATCTCTCGAGTGCTTCTGTTTTCCCCAATATTCGCACATCAACGACCTCGTCCTTTTCCGCCTCCATTCCTTTCGTTAAAGCGGACAAAGGCTTGCTGGTCAGGCCAGTTGCCGACTTTTTCACCAGATGAAAGCAGAAGCGAAGTTGAGCCCCCATTACAGAACTTGTTTAGTTTGTATGCATTTATATACACGCACACATACAAGCACTGACACGCGCGTACATTTAGAGCGGCCGAACCTCTACCACTTCGGCATAAAAACATAGCCACGTCCGTGATGGCCGCGCACACAAAACGTGACGCAGGCCAATTAAAGGGTGTGCCACACTCCTACCACGACCACAAGTGGTACTTGTTACATCCGTGCTCAGTACTGTATCCATATACCGACAGCCAACAAGAACTGATAAATAGAATGGCCCTGCTGTAGTAAATTATTTCGGTAAGGTATATGCGCCACATCCATGAATCCGTGGATATACGGCAACAACTGCCTTGAGTTCTCTTTGCGTTGATATTCTGTTTCACTTTACTGCAATAGTATTTTCATTTCAAACGAAGTAACGCATGCGATAGCACCTTCTAGATGGTTTCTCTGGCTGCACTTTGCATTTTCGTACTCACTCAGCATTTATTACGTTTCCCATTTCTTCATCGATAAAGCAAATTTTTTCATTGTTTTTTGTCAATATCTACCCTTTTCTCACTCTCCTTTTGTAATCGATAGACATGTTACGCCCATGTGAGTAAACTCTAAAAAGCAAGCTGGAGAACAAAATCTGTTTTCTTGATTCGTCGCGAGTAAGCCGAATCAGAAAAGTTCGGAAGGGGGAGAGAAGGGTGTGTGGAAAATAAAGCGCTCCGCGTAAGGCGCAGCGACGAAAAACACAAATGTAAAACGCACTGTTTGCCCCATCTCCAATGCGGTATACGTACATATATATTTTTCTAAACTTCGGAGGTCACGCAGCGTGCATTGACCCGTTTGGCGAAACTAATTCGCTGCCAAGTCGAGTAGTAGACGATACTCGTTTCTCCGGCCTGGTTTGCTGCCTCGAGATTTGCAAGCACCGAACAGCGGGGGCTGCGAGCAGAGAAGGGGACAGCGGGAGCAGTTCGGTAAACAAGCGCCGCCCCGGGGCCAACACTTTCGTGTCCTACGCACGCAGGAAGCGCCGGGATTCACTGGGAGTTTGCGCACCGCCAGAGACGGCGAGAGGGTTGAGGCCAAGAAGCCTTCTTTCACCTCTCCCTCGCCACCCCGCCCTAAGCTGCATTCTTATCGTTATTATTATAGTTTTCCTGCATGATTTTCTCGTGGTCCGTATAACTTGATTTTATTATTCGTAGAAAGAGAACAAAAGGAGTGGCAAAACAAAACAAAAGTAAACCAACAAACAAACGAAACAAGAACGAATAGAGCGATGGCAAGGGGTTCAGGCGTTCTTCGACAAGGGCAACCTTTGCGTTCCGGCCCGGTGGGCTGGAGGGCCTCCTCGCGCTGCCACCTAATGAACCGACCAGTACTGCCTTCGAAATGAGTTGCGAGAAGCCTCAGGTTCCCGCCCATTGCGTCTTGCTTGCGTGGTCTCAAAGTATTTTCATTTCCTCTCTATATACCAACGCATCCCCCTTCTGCAGCCTAAGGGCGGGCTTACGTGTGTTTCCTGGCCCTGTCGTCGAACAGCAGAACCGCAGCCACGAGAGCTCGAGACTAGGGTGGAAAAAAAAAGAAAAAGGAAAACGATCTCGTGGAATAAATAAATGCCCGGGATAGAGAAGCGGGTCAGACGAGAAAATAAAAAGAGGTAACAACGTGGCGGGATTCGAAGAAGGGGAGATGCATTCGTTCCCCAATCCCGCATCGAGTGTCGTGGCCATGTAGGGATAGCCGTTTCTCTCGTCGACTGTCCGAGCGGCGGAGACCGACTGATTGGTGCCCATTACGAAGCGAGCAGCTGCAGCAGTCCCGAGCTCGATCTTTCCGCGTAGCCACGGGCCCCGTGTCTCTCCACATCCTAGGACGTCTTGCTTCCCCGGCGAGTTCCTCCCGAAAATAAAGGGGAAAAAATGTCCTACACACCCGACCACACCGACAGGCACGCTCGCCTAAAGGGCGTCGTCAGCAGCCAGGCAGCAAAAGCCGAGTCATGTGGTGGTTCGGCCGCACGCGCGCTCACCTCCCACGCGCTGCATGCCCGCAGACCTGAGAGCCTCGAAATTAACTCTTGCTGAGTCCAGACGATGTTCCCTCCAGCATTTCTCCTACCTCGTTTCATTCGCTCTGCTATCGGCCCCCGCCATTCTATTGTACCCTGGTAAAAAAAAAGTAACAGGAAGGGAAGGTACTGCTCCGCGTTAAATGAGGACCGAGCCCGTCAAAGTTGGTTTCCGAAAGTGCTCTCTATTCGAGGGGTGGGGGGGGGGAGGGCACCTTCAGTGTCAGTGCATGCAGACGGGCACGCCAGTGAGCATTCCGCGCGTTCGTGTCTCTCGGTAATTAGATTTTCATGCAAGTGTGGCCCACCGCTGCTCGCTATTAAGGAAGACCGCTGCGACGGTCACGCCGTTTCTGCTAGAACAGAAGCGAGAAGCCTGGAAGGTCCCTCGCCTTTCTCGCCGTCTGAAGCTGCGCGGCTTTATATACCTTTTCCGACGGACACTTCACCCCACAAAGCGAAGGCAGATAGACAAAGAAGATTTCTTTATCTAACGGTCATTGTTGCCGGCTTCCTGTGCAAAGATAGCGCTTCCTGTGGCCCGTCATTATATATATCTATATATATATGCTCAGCTTAGTACGGTCTTAAAATTAGAAAGGGTACGCAAAAAAAGAAGGAAGAAAAACAATGAATATATATATATATATATATATATATATATATATATATATATATATATATATATATATATATATATTACAATAGTTGAAAAACTGAAAAACTTAGCCAGAGCGATACGAAGTCGCTTAAAATACAGCAACTACAATGGCGTGTGCGCCTGGGTTAGAGTTCGTCTTAAAAGCGGGGCCACAGCCACATGTTCACCCGCGTCACACACCATGCTCTTTATCGACGTGACGGCCCTGCAAGATGCAGGCTCCGGGTGAGCCGTCGAAAGTTGGACGGAGTACGGAGCGAGGAAGGGAAAGAAGAGGTGATGCGGCAGTGACGAGAAGGGCGTCCGACGCAAGCGGCGCGAATATCCACGAGCGGCGGCGGCCCGTCGCCTTTC